AAAAAAAAAAAAAGAAATACCAGGTCCTCAGCTCACCCCCACTCAAATGAATATGAATCTCTAGAGTATGACCCTGGTTTCTATATTTTAAAAGCTACGGTACTAAGCAGACTTCTAAGATAACCTCTAGTGATCCCTGAATCCTGGTATTCATGCCTTTGTATAACTCCTTCCCTTTAAGTGTAAGCTAGACCTATTGACTTGCTTTTAACAAACAGAATATATAACCAATCACTTACACGATCAGGTTATGAAAGTCCATAACCAGTCACTTGCATGAGTAGGTTATGAAAGTCTGTGGTTTCCATCTTGCTGGCTTTTCATCCCTTGCTTGGCTTGCATGCTTTGATGAAGCAGCCTAACAGATTGGAAAGACCTACCTGGCAAAGAACCAAGTGTGCCAGCTAAGAGTTGAGGTTCAGTCCAATAACCTATGGGGAACTAAATCTTACCAACATTGGAAGATGTTGCCTAAGCTCACTTGTAAGATCTTTCCCCACTCAAACCTTCAGATGAGACCAAAGCTCCAGAAAACACATTGATTGCAGCCTTGTGAAAAATGGTGAAACAAAGGACCCAGCTAAGCCATACCTAGATTACTGGCGCAGAAGCTGTGGAATAATAAATGGATGTCGTTTTAAGCCTCTGAGATTTAGGATAATTTGTTAATAGCAATAAACTGAGACAGCTCTCTGGGTGATTGTAATATACAGCTAGGGTTGAAAATTGCTGATGTAGTGGAGGGAGGGGGTTTGGAGGGATCACTTCTGAGGTTTATCTTATAGGGGTACAAGTGAATCTTTCTAAGAGTAGAATGTGAACGTTTTAAAACAATAACTGAGAAAATGACATGAAGGCTGTGTTGATCAGTTTGATGGAAGTATTTCGGATTGCATGTGAAAACCCCACACTGTACCCCAGAAGTCATTAATGTACATAGTTACCATTCAATAAAAAAAAGAAAAGAAAAGAAAATTGCTGATGTACCTTACAAGTGTAATTTTTTTTTTTTTGGCTGGGGCTGGGCTTGAACCCACCACCCCCAATATATGTGGCCAGAGCCCTTCTCCTTGAGCTACAGGCACCATAGGGCACCAACTAGCCCCATATACCAGAGGTGGCAGGTTCAAACCTGGCCCCAGCCAAAAACTGCAAAAAAAAAGATATAATATTTTTAAAACCCCTTGTAAATTCTACTCTAGGTTTACATAGCCAGAATTAAGTTGTATTGATATTGCTTCTAAAAATAACTATTTAATACTAAAATATTTTAGACATATAAAAAGATATAATGAATGGGAACTCTTGCTCATCATAAGCTTGAAAATAAAAAAATAATGTATATGTACGCTCAAGTCCTCTAATTACTTTTCCCTAACTGTATTACCTACATAACCCTCACATGTAATCACTATCCTGAACTTTCCATTTCAACTTATATTTTAAAATTTATTGACTTTAAGTTAAATATAGTAGTTTCCAATTTTCTAAAAAATCACTGATATACCTAAAATTATATTGCCTTTTGCATTGCAGTGTAATATTTTTCTTTCTCACTTATACTAAATGTGTGGCTCTTTTAAGAAACTACTTTGGCTTTGGTTATTCTCTCTGATAGGTCTTTTTTAAACAGATTTGGAGAGCATAATTTGCATGCAATAAAATTCACTCTTTTTAGATATGCCATTCAATGAATTTTGATAAATGTATAGTCTAATAACCACCTCCATAACTGAGATTTAAAATATTCCCATCACTCCCCACCCCCCCAAATTGCTTCATACCCTCTTTGGAAGCAATCTCCTCTCCCAACCCTTAGTCCCAGGCAACTGATGATAGGATTTCTGACCCTCTTCCAGAATATCACATAAATGGAATTATGCAGTAGTATTTTTTATATCTATCACTTAGCACCACTGCCTTTCAGATCATTCACATAGTTGTAAGGGTCAATAGTTTGTTCCCTTTCTGCTATGTGTCCTACACTGAGAAGGAAGGTATTTAACCCAGCATATGAATAGAGACCTGAGTGTTTCTGTTTTCTCCACTGTTCTGGGGTCATTGTGTCCCTGCACCAGGTACTGATGGGCATGCCCTATGGAAGTATTCCCAGGAAGACAGTGCCTCGGGCTGAGGAGGAAAAAGCCATGGACTTCTCTGTCCTTTGGGATTTTGAGGTACTATGCCAACATGCCAATGCACTCTCATTTTGTGATTGTAAAACCTAAAGATTGCATGGATTTGTGAAATCATGCTTTTAATTATTAAAAAACTAGTGCTTTAATAAAATATTAGCACCAGGCTAACTGAGCTCACAAAGCAGTCCTCCCAGGTCTCCTTCATGGGCTCCTCCTTCCAGCCATACCCCATGAGGCCACCGCTTCCCTCTCTGTCAGCTCTGTATGGCGATATCACAGTATGGTTTTCTCTCCCTGTTCCCACATGAAAACCTTGGGTCTATCTCTCCTGCAGGCTTTCCCCTAGTTTCACATGACATCTTTAACTGAATGTCCAAACGGCTCCTCAAATTAAACACCTATCCAGCCAAAACCCACATTTCTCTTTCCCATCTCCTTTATTGGAACCACATTCCCCATCCAATCATCCAAGTCTAAAGTCTGAACATCATTCTATACTTCTTTCTTTTCCTCACCAATCTCCCATCCAATTGATCACTAAATCTGAGCCCACCTACTAAATATTTCTTGAATCTTTCTTTTGTAAACTCAGTTAAGACCACTAGATTTTATTCCATTGGGGAATGAGAATCAATGAATAGCCAAGGAGGAAGAAAATCACTGAATATCTGAATAAGAAAAAGCCTTGGGCTTTTTCCCAACCTTTGGGATGTCAAGGTTCTATTGCCAACGTGCCAATGCTCTTCCATTTTATGATTGTAAGACCTAGGGATTACCAGAATACATGTGAAATAATGAAATTAATTATTGAAAAACCAGTACTTTAATCAAATAGCATCCCAACACTGGGCAAAATGCTTTTCTCTATCCCTCTTATCATCCCTCTTACACTTTGAATTAATGCCCTTCTGTTACCAGGACTACTGTCAAGAATCTCCCCTCCCTGCCTTGTCTTGGTTCCTAAAATCTCCATTCCCTCTGCTATCAGGAAGATCTTTCCAAAATGCAAATCTCAGCCTGAGCAAGAGTGAGACTCTGTCTCTACAAAAAATAAAAAAAATTAGCCAGAGGTGGTAGAGGTGCCAGTAATCACAGCTACTCATAAGGCTGAGGCATGAAGATCACTCAAGCCCAGGAGTTTGAGGTTGCAATGAGCAATGATGATGTCACTGCCCTCTAGCCTGGGAGACTGAGCAAGCCCTGTCTCAAAAAATAGAATACGAAATGCAAATCAGACCCTGTCACTCCGTCACCATGAATATTCGTTGATTCCCATTCCCAAATGGAATAAAACCCAGTGTTCTTAGTTGGACTTCCAAAAGAACTGTTGATGATCTGGCCATCCCCTACCTCTCTGGTCCCATGTCCCTCTAATACCTCACACTTTCTTGCCCCAATAGCACAAACTTTGGGGAAGTTCTGCACGCATCCTAACTTTCACTGTCCCCTGCTTTTTCTCATGGTCCTCTGCCTGGAACACCCTTCCCTCTTTGGTGAGTCTCCAAACCCCAGTGCCTCAGGCTATGGCGGGTACAGAGGCCAGGAGTCGTGTCTATGGGGCCTCCCACCACAGGCCATAGCTACTATTATCCCTCACCCTCAAAGTCAGGTTGGAGACCCCTCAGAAATATAAGAAAATGTGTCAGAGTATCTTTCCAAGCTATTTGGAACAAGGGTGCTTAACTGTGCTACTACTAAGGATTTCCTTTATTCCTTTTTTTTTTTTTTTTTTTTGAGACAAAGTCTCACTCTGTCGCCCTGGGTAGAATGCCATGATGTCATAGTTCACAGCAACCTCAAACTCCTGGGCTTAAGCAATCCTCTTGCCTCAGCCTTCCAAGTAGCTGGGACTACAGGTGTGCACCACCACACTCAGCTAGTTATTTTCTATTTTTTTAGTAGAGACGTGTTCTTGCTCTTGCTCAGGCTGGTCTTGAATTCCTGAGAGCAAGCAATCCCCCTGCCTCCACTTCCCAGAGTGCTAGGATTACAGGTGTAGGCCACCGTGCCTGGCCCAGATTTCCTTGCTTCTTTGTTTTATCCAAAGATCCTTGTTGAAACACCCCATCTTTCAAAGCCAAACTGAATTTATACAATAACCACTTGCTGTCATTTACAAAGATATGTAAAAAGTGCTAAAAATCTAAGTTACTACTACACCTAAATAATTGCACCTAAAAAGTGTACTAATTATACCTAAAAACCAAAAATAAAACAAAACAATATTCTTAGTTGGAGTTAGATCATGAGCCTTATTGTGTGCAATATTCTTTAGATTTTTTTTTTTTTTTTTTTGGAGACAGAGTCTCAAGCTGTCGCCCTGGGTAGAGTGCCATGAGTTTTGAAGTATTTAGAAAGCTCACAGATTCCCATCTGCTTTTGGAATGTTAAATATGACCTTAGGGGTGGGGAAAATCATTTTGAGCCGTTAAGTACGTGTGGCTCACACACAGGCCTCTTACCCCTATTTTTATCCCAAATGGTAACTCTCCCCCTCCTATAGCTCCATGCACTCCATGTAATGGGGGAACTATGAGATTGAAGGAGAGAAACAGGGAGAGACATGGGGGGACCCTGGAGCCTCAGGAGACCATGAAGAGAAAAGCACGAACATCCAAAGCTCTTCCTAATTCCCCTCCAACTCCAGTTAAAACTCTGAGAAAGAAATCCCTAGTAGAAAAGTGTGTGATGACCACCTGCTGTCCCACAGGGCTACATCAAGTATTCCGCTCTCTTCTACGGCTACTACAACAACCAGAGGACCATCGGGTGGCTGCGGTACCGGCTGCCCATGGCTTACTTTATGGTGGGGGTCAGCGTGTTCGGCTACAGCCTGGTGATTGTCATCAGATCGTAAGTATGACTGTCTCTCATTTATAGGTGTTGACTTTTCTTCACAAAAAGCAGCTCGCTCCTCTGGCCCCTCTCCACCTACTTACCTTTGGGAGGGCATTTAGAAAGAGAGCAAGGAAACAAATACACAAAGCAAATCCGGATTGTAATATGTGGTATAAAAGACATAAACCAGGTGATGCAAGACGTTCTAGGAAATGGGACAGAAACTCCTTTAGATGAGGCTGCAAACTGCCAGCCGTGCTGAGAGTCTGGGCAAGCAGCATTTTAGAAAAAGAAAGTGACATGCAAAGGCCCCAAGGCAGCAAATATCCTAACATGTTTCCCCAAACTGTCAAAAGGCCAGCTTGAAGGGTAGCATGGCACCTGGGAAGGTAACACTGGAAGTTTGTAAGGTCTGTTTCCACTTTTCTGAACTCAGCTTCCCCAGAAAAACCCCTCTGCTCCTCCATAGCTCTAGCTTGTGCATTAGAACTGACCTGGCACTCATAAAGACATACGCAATACACTTGTATTGGCTGTGTGCATTTATCACTTATCACGTGTAATCACGGCAGCCTCTCTAGCCACCCCCCTCTGCTTGTCTCTACAATCAGAAGTAAACTTTTAATATGTCTGCGCCTCTTAATTCATATTATCTGAAAAGAAAATTTAGTCCAACCCACGAATTGCCTTCTTCAGAGCCGACTATAGCTGGGGCAATGTGGGGTGGGAGGCCCAGTCTCCTGCACAAACCTAGGTAGCTCTGTCTCCAGGAGAGAGTATTCTTGAAGCCTGGTTAGAAATCCTGAAATGTAGCCTGGCATTGTGGTGGGCACCTATAGTCCCAGCTGCTGAGGCAAGAGAGTCACCTAAGCCCAGGAGTTGGAGGTTGCTGTGAGCTGTGATGCCACGGCACTCTACCCAGGGTGCTAAACTGAGATAGTGTCTCAAAAAAAATAAAAAGGAAAGAAAAGAAATCCTGAAAGGTCAATGGGCTTAACTTTCTGTAACATCATCTCAGGGGACAAAACTACTACTATTCACAAGACCCCTCTCAGCACTCAACACCTGCTACTTGGTGTTATTCACTGCCCAGCTCTTTTTCTCTAAAAGGAAAAAACAAGGAGATGGGCTGGGTTTTATCCTCAGCCCTTATGTTGCTGCTTCTTCCCTGTTACTATCCCAGATAAATGTAGGGATATGGGCAGTTTCCACAATGAACGAAAAAGCTAACCAAGCCTTGTGGTGCAGCAAATCCAAAAGGCCAACACATAAGACAGAGTTAGAGTGGCATACAAACCGCCTCTCATCCCCAGTTGTACCTGGTTGACCCCTATTTGGAATCCCACAGGGCCAGACTCTGGAAGCACACTTTGAGGACAGGTGTGATAGAATAGGAAGGTCCAGGGTACTTTCATTCAAGTTCATTTATAAAAAGGATGTGATCATTATCTGACTGTAGTACCAGCTGCCTCAGGGCTTCTTGGGTTTTATATCAGAAAAATAGGTATAAGGGCAGTGCCTATGGCTCAGTGAGTAGGGCACCGGCCCCATATATCGAGGGTGGCAGATTCAAACCCGGCCCCAGCCAAACTACAACAAAAAATAGCTGGGAGTTGTGGTGGGCACCTATAGTCCTAGCTACTCAGGAGGCTGAGGCAAGAGAATCACCTAAGCCCAGGAGTTGGAGGTTGCTGTGAGCTGTGATGCCACAGCACTCTACCAAAGGCAATAGTGAGACTCTATCTCTAAAAAAAAAAAAAGAAAGAAAACAAAAATAGGTATGTTCTATCCAAAAAATAAATAACTTAGAAAAGGCTATTCCTCTTTGAGGAGAGTCCCAGTATGGCATTCTCAGGTGCCTTTGCAGGTGAGTCAAGCCACAGGCAGTCAGGTGTGCGGGTAGAAAATACAGTGGATTGTCCCGCATCCTCTAGGTTCTCTGCTGCCCAAGTGACACTGTGTGTGCTTTCAGGCACTCTGAATTTGGGGAGAAGGTGCCCTGGCTATCTTCAAAGCTGTCTTGGCTCAAGCCCCTGCCTGGCTCATTCCTTCATTACATGTCAGCTCCCTGTTCATCAGCGACTTGTGGCCAGGACTGACTCAGGCCAAGATTTTCTTGGGGTGACCCAGCAGAAATGGGGCAGGCATCACAACAGCGGTGTGTCCCCTCCAGGATGGCCAACAATACCCAAGGGAGCACAAGCGATGGGGAGAGTGATAACTTCACGTTCAGCTTCAAGATGTTCACCAGCTGGGACTACCTGATTGGGAATTCAGAGACGGCCGACAACAAGTATGCCGCCATCACCACCAGCTTCAAGGTAGTCACCTCAGAGCCCTTCCCGCTTTGGGGGGAACTCTGGGTCTCTCCGGTCGTTGGGAAATATTTCCTGCGGCACAGGAAATAAAATCCCCAAACAATTGTGGCAAGAGCTTTCCCAGAAGTACGAGACCAGCTTTCAAGCCCTCAAGAAAGAATGCTCATGACTGGGGCTCACCATCTGTTTCTTAATATGGCAGAGAATCCTGGAGGCAGAGATCTGTTCTTGCCTATGTCTTCAAGGAACAGCTTTCTTTCATTTTTTTTTTAATTTTATTAAGGCTAAAATTAGATCCAAATGAGATCTTCTCATACTTGCTGTTGTTTCTAATTAAGGGAACAGCTTTCTGCTGGTGGAAGTGGAAGAACTCCTTTGGGGTGACAGGACTCCCTTTGGGGGGGGGGCATTTCTCAACCTTTTCTTCATACTAGAATCACCTAAGGAGTATTAAATCTCCTAGGCCCCACCTACAAAGTTGTTGATATAATTAGTCTGGAGTGGGGTCCTGACGTTGTTTTTGTTTGGTTTGGTTTCATTTTGTTTAAGACACTGTCTTGCTCTATCACCTAGAGTGCAATGATGTCATCACAGCTCACTGTAACCTTGAATTCCTAGACTCGAGAGATCCTCCTGGCTCACATCCTGAGTATCTGGGACTACAGGCATAAGCCACTATACCCAGCTAATTATCTTTTTTTTTTTTTTTTAGAGATGGGGTCTCCCTATGTAGCCCAGACTGGTCTTGAACTCCTGAACTCAAGCAGCCTTCTTACATCAGCCTTCCAAAATGCTGGGATTATAGGCACAAGCCACTGCACCCAGCCCTAATATTGTTTTTTTTATTACAAAATCTTCCCAAGTGATTAGAATGCCCAGAAAGAGTTGAGAACTTTGGTTTGGGGGTATAAGAATAAAGAAATCAACCCCATGTTTCTTATAGTCCACAACAATTACAACTAATTATCTTGTTCATTTGTTCATAAAACATATTTTATGACTACAGAACTGTAGACCTCAGGACTACAGGACTATAGTCCATATAAAATAACAATCCAGATGTAAACGAATGAAGGCTGAAGCTGTGACACCAAAGACCATTTCACAATCTTGATGGTTCATTATTCTACCTGTCTGATTGGTCGGACTTTCTTTCCCCCAGGATCTGGCAAACATCAGATCTACATGGCAACTGTGCTTGACTGTCTTCTTTGTCCCTCTCCTCTCCTCAGCCCTTCCTCCTACTCACTGACCAATACCTACAGAAGGCAGGGCTCAGGATCACAAACTCACTGCATGGATTTCATGAGCCCCAGAGTCTTGTGGGCTTGGCAGTGGGTGGAACAGAGGGCTAGCTCCTCTCCTTCTCACAGTAATGAGGGACTCATGGCCACCTGTACCTAAGGGCAGGGTAGGGGAGAGTCGGGACTTTGACTCTTCCTATAGGCTTAACAGAGAAAATTGCTGCCTGGGAAGCAGTCTGAATCTGAGAAGGAGAAAGACTTCTCCCCTGAGTCTATTAAAAGCAGACATAACAAATACACTTAAATAACAGGACAGACATGAGAACTATGAGTTAAGACTTTGGCATGTGGGAGACCTCACTTTTCATCCTGGCTCCTACCACTTATGACCTGTGTCTTTATAAAGAGTTACTAATGTAGGGCACAAAGTTAACCATCAAAAATCAGTCATATCTTTATCTACTAGCAGAAAACAATTAGAAAATACTTTTAAAATTCTATTTGCAATAGTATGAAAAAAAGCAAAATTTCTAGGAATAAATTTAACCTAAGACCACTACACTGAAAAGTATAAAATATTGTTGAAAGAAATTAAGAAACTGGGTGGTGCTTGTGGCTCAGTGAGTAGGGCACCAGCCCCACATACTGAGGGTGGTAGGTTCAAACCCAGCCCCGGGCCAAACTGCAACAACAACAACAAAATAGCCAGGTGCTATGATGGGCGCCTGCTGTCACAGCTACTTGGGAGGCTGAGGCAAGAGAATCGCATAAGCCTAACAGCTGGAAGTTGCTGTGAGCTGTGACGCCACAGCACTCTACCAAGGGAGACAGAGACTCTGTCTCTTAAAAAAAAA